ATTATCCTGATTATCAGCACTTTCGGGCGAACCACTACTACACGATTGGGAACAGGAGGTCGAGTCCTGATTAGACACCACACTATTCTTCCGGCGCTTCTTATTCATCTCGATCTTACACTTCCGCTCCTTCTTCTCGTCACTCGAAAGGATCCAATCCTTTAGACACAAACAAATTCATTGTATATTAGCCTTAGAGACAAAAGCCTTATTCTAGACTATATTGTAATCACTTTTTTCATCCCAATTGCGTAACACTTCTTGAGGCGACACTTCTTGCAGAAACGTCGGGTGAGGACATCGATCTCGCAGTTGTCATCGAAATGACACTTCAATTCCTGGTGAATATCATACGAGAGGGACGGTTAGACAACATTTCAAATACTGTATCATATATTGTCTTATCTATTGATTACTTTATTTTTGACGGCATTCCTCCTGAAGAAGGCTTTACACGACTCGCACGAAAGGGCATCAAAATTATTGCCTACATATGAGTGGAAATACATTTTGTTAGCAAATAGGTCTCGCTTCTGGTTATTTACCCTAATATATAATATCATGACTTTTATATTATGAAACAGATATTAAATGGCAGAAAACAATGGTCTGATTTGGTAGACAAGGATATGAGGCTATGATATGTAATATATTAAGCAAATAATTATTAGCAAAAAAAAATCACATCATTTCATACCAATAGCTCTGTCGCCGCAAACCAAACACTTTTTGATGAATTCCTGATCCGTCATAATGTTATGAAATACTAAATTGCACTAAAATTTCAAATATAATGTCCAATGCTTTGTACAATTGTTTTAATATTACGATATTCAACTGATTGTATTAGTAATTTATACGATATTTGAAACACTTCATAATAAATGTAATAATACTGTAGTATGATATGTATATTATAGCACTTTTCTTATCGGTATCTAAGAAACATATCACTGATTGTGGTCAACATTACCATAACTTAGTATTAAACTTCTCATACAGTTATGAAGGCCTCGTAATTAGGTATACATCTAGCCTTGAGATTGTCAATAATATTAGGTTCCGAATACTTTTACTTTTCCAATCCACTCGCAACTCTTATAATACAAATCAATTTTTAAAAATCATTCAATACATAGGAAAATATATTTATTTCACAAAATATTACTAATTAAATACAAAATATCAAATTTATTAGGTTGGTCATTTAGGTGTATAGAGTAAATATGAAAACAATTGCACTTCAATTCATGTATGGAGAATAACATACACTTGAATACAGTAGAGAATATTTATTTATGAATACTGTATTAATATGTATAATATAATAGCGATTTCATATGAAATGTGCAATCTCTTTTAGAGTTTGCGTACTTCTCCCTTGATTACTTTTCCCAAACTATTCAAACAAGTTTGCAAAACTTTTTAGTCTTAAATCATTAAGACTTTAGTCCATTATATGAACATATTGTCAAAATTTATATGATTTCAAGGCTCACCACATACTCCAATATATAATTTGGTGATTGGTTAATTAATGAGCATTGGGTACAACTAAACAGCTGTACTGTATATTCTGTTTAGTGATAATGTTAGTGACTATTTATTTTGTCGTTAATAGGCTGTCCTCTCATTTCCTCTCATTTTTTTGGATTGACATTAAATTATCACTTTATATCTAATGACAAAATTGCAGTCAATGACCAATCATTAAACCAAATATTTGATTAAATGGTTTAAAATAGATTTTGTTTAAAATTTGATGAATTATTTAAACTTTTTAAAATTATCTTGAAAGTAAAATTAATCATTGTAAATGATAATTTTTAATAAAATAATTAATGTTTAACATTATTTAATAGTTTACAAAGAAATATTTAAAATAGACAATAAAATACAAGTGATTAATAATTATATGAATTGTCAAAGTGTTGTAAAAATAATGATATTTATTTATAGCATACAAAGTATTTTTAGTTAATTAGACAAACAAATCACATCTCAGATGATTGTATCTCATAAACGAAAATCTCATTTATCAATATAAAACTTTATCAGATAGACTAACAATTTTCGTGAATAGTGTATGAATTATTTAAACAATTTTTGTCTTATTATAACTTAGGAAAACATTTTTGAATCATTCAATTTTAATGGTATCTATTGGAGGGGACTGTTCGTATTGAATACACTAGTACTTGTGATGTGGGAAGGCATGGCTACCTCTGGATCAGACTCTAACCAATTCTGAGCCACTGTTTCGTTCAAAATCGGCAAATCTGTCAAACAGTTCAATAGCCTTAAGAACTTGGATTTGGCCTCACA